TGCCCCCATATCTCTCCATAAAGAGGACCTGTCACTGAATTATGTCTCATTGTTCCCCCCATATCTCCTCCATAAAGAAGACCCGTCACTAATTATGTGTCATTGTCCTCCCATATCTCTCCATAAAGAAGACCTGTCACTAATTATGTCTCATTGTCCTCATATCTCTTCATAAAGGGGACCTGTCACTAATTATGTCTCATTGTCCCCCCCATATCTCTCCATAAAGAAGACCTGTCACTAATTATGTCTCAGTGACCCCCCCATATCTCTCCATAAAGAGGACCTGTCACTAATTATGTCTCATTGTCCCCCATATCTCTCCATAAAGAGGACCCGTCACTAATTATGTCATTGTCCCCCCCCATATCTCTCCATAAAGAGGACCCGTCACTAATTATGTCTCATTGTCCCCCCCATACCTTTCCATAAAGAGGACATGTCACTAAATATGTCTCATTGTCCCCCCATATCTCCCTTAAAGAGGACCTGTCACTAATTATATCTCATTGTCCCCCCATATCTCTCCATAAAGAGGACCTGTCACTAATTATGTCTCATTGTCCCCCCATATCTCTCCATAAAGAGGACCTCTCACTAATTATGTCTCATTGTCCCCCCCATATCTCCACCTAAAAAGTACCTGTCACTAATTATGTCTTATTTTCCCCATTCCACAAGCTTGTGCAATTTTAAACCGTGACACGTTGGGTATCTATTTACTCGCCGTAACATCCTCTTTCATATTTTACAAACAACCGGAGTATAGTTTTTTTTAATCAAAGTGTATTTTTTTCCAAAAAATATATATTCATTTTTAAAAACCGCGCATTTCGGTTTCGGCCAAGTGCATTTTTAATTTCCGGTACCAGAATTTTCATTTGATTATTGCGGATGATCCCCCCACCTCTGCCAGTAGCGTGGCTGCTGAAGGATGGGTCTACAGCGGGGAACTCGATCGATTTACTAATCCTTTTTCAATGGCTGCTCTGTATCACAGGATTTTTGTGGGATATTTGTTCCATGTTTTGTTATGTAAAAAAAAAAAAAATTTCATTTAATGGAATAGTTGACTTTTACCCCAAAAACCTGCCTCTGCAGATAAGGGTCGTCTGTAGATGAAAACAAACTGGGTGGCTCCGCCCAAGCGGAATAATGCCCTGGCTAGAGGTGGAGGCCAATAACGTACCTCCCTGGACATTCCTAAGTGAGGCCTCGTCATTACCGCTCCCCTCCACCATCACAGGAGGGCGCTCTCCGATGCTGGGCTCAGAGCCACCGCATCGGGGGAGAAAGCAGCATGCGAGGGGTGTGAATCAGAAAAAGAGCGCCCTCCTGTGATGGCGGAGGGGAGCGATAAATGACGAGGCCTCACTAAGCAGCATCCCGGGAGGATTTCCCCTCAGTGATGTAATTTAATCAGAAGGAAAAAAAGGAACCAGAAAAAAAAAAACAGAAGAAAAATGTTTATTAATGAAATTACAAAGAACATAAATGAAGATTTCATCCTTTATTGGGCTACACGTCACACATGTCAGTGGGGAGCATTAGATACACTCCCCGTCAGATTCTGCCCCCATGACGGCAGACCAGGGCCCCCTGAGAACAGTGGTACTCTAACTCCAGTCCCCTTATCACTCACTCGTCAGCAAAACACGTCCAGCAGGGGGCTCTATTCCAGCAAACGCAGTGCAGGGTCATGGCACTACCACCGCCCTGGAATGGTCAGTCTTGGTATTTAGTCTGATCTCCTCGGCTCTTCATCTACACCTCTCACCACCAGCTCTGTCTTTGCAGCTCCTGTTGGAGAGGAGGGGAGATCAGACTCCGCTAGAGGGAGGGACTCTGCTGGCAATGCCATGCCCCCTTCTAGTAGAGGGGAGATCAGACTCCGCTAGAGGGAGGGACTCTGCTGGCAATGTCACGCCCCCTTCTTGTAGAGGAGGGGAGATCAGACTCCGCTAGAGGGAGGGACTCCGCTGGCAATGCCACGCCCTCTTCTCCTAGTAGAGGAGGGGAGATCAGACTCCGTTAGATGGAGGGACTCCTCAGGCAATGCCACGCCCTCTTCTCCTAGTAGAGGAGGGGAGATGGGACTCCGCAGGCAATGCCACGCCCTCTTCTCCTAGTAGAGGAGGGGAGATGGGACTCCGCTGGCAATGCCATGCCCATTTTTCTCCTAGTAGAGGGGAGATCAGACTCCGCTAGAGGGAGGGACTCTGCTGGCAATGCCACACCCCTTTCTCCTAGCAGAGTGACCTTGGAATGTCCTTGGTGAGCTCTGAGCTTCCTGTGAAGGGTTTCCCACACTTCCGAGATCAGAGGAGCGCCCAGCCATGTGTTTTCTGAGGAGTTCCTTACAGCAAAAGCCAATGGATTGCTGTGAAAACGTTTCCCATACATGAGGTAGGAGTTCAGCCTCCTCCAGGGTGACATCTCCAGTTGATTTGAATGTTTCCTGAACTCAGCAGGAATACCGCCCCCCCTCCCCCCATGTGACATTGCTGATGTACTGGAAGATTGAACCTCTCTAAAAAAATACATTTTCCAAACTTAAGTCAGGCATGCAGTTTCTTCGTTCGTGAGATTTTTGGTGTCTCACAAGAGTTGATTTCAGCGGATAACATTTCCCGCACTCAGCACAGGAGTGTGGCCTCTCTCCCGTGTGAGATTTTTGATGTGTGGCAAGTGCTGATTTCCAAGCAAAACATTTCCCGCACTCAGGACAGGAATACGGCTTTTCCTTCGTGTGCAATGTCTGATGTCTGTAAAGCCTGGACATCTCTGAAAAACGTTTCCCGCACTCAGGACAGGAATACGGCTTCTTGCTTTTGTGGGATTTTTGATGTCTGTCCAGTGTTGCCTTAAACGCAAAACATTCTCCGCACTTAGGACAAGGGTACGGCTTTTCCCCGTGTGAGATCTTTGATGTATGACAAGTAATGAATTGAATGAAAAAGATTTCCCGCACTCAGGGCAGGGATACGGCTTGTTCCCCGTATGACATTGCTGATGTACCAAAAGACAGCTCTTAGTTGAAAAAACATTTCCCGCACTCAAGACAAGAATACGGCTTCTCACCCGTGTGAGATTTTAGATGTCTGATAAGTGTTGAATTCAGAGAAAAACATTTCCCGCACTCAGGACACGAGTACGGCTTCTCCCCAGTGTGAGATCTCTGATGTGTTAGAAGCTGTGACTTACTTATATAACATTTCCCGCACTCTGGGCAAGAATATGGGTTGTTGTCCAAGTGGCTTTTCTGATGCTCAGAAAGAGAAGATGTTTGTGAAAAACATTTCCCGCACTCAGCACAGGAATATGGCTTCTCCCCCGTGTGAATTCGTAGGTGTATGAAAAGTCCTGATTTCCCTGAAAAACTTTTTCCCACACTCAGCACAGGAATACGGCTTCTCTCCAGTGTGAATTCGTAGATGTCTGACAAGTTCTGATTTTGCTGGAAAACATTTCCCGCACTCCGGGCAGGCATGGAGCTTCTCTCCTGTATGAAATTTTAGATGTCTGACAAGTGCTGATTTCCACCCAAAACATTTCCCGCACTCAGAGCAGGAATACGAATTCTCTTCTGTGTGAGATCTTTGATGAGTGACAAGTTCCGATTTTCTTGGATAACTTTTCCCACACTCTGTGCAGGAATACGGCTTGTAATCCAGGTGGCATCTCTGGTGATGAGAAAGAGAAGATTCTTCTGAAAAACATTTCCCGCACTCGGCACAGGAATACGGCTTCTCTCCAGTGTGGATTCGTAGATGTCTGACAAGTTCTGATTTTGATGGAAAAAACATTTCCCGCATTCCGAGCAGGAATGGAGCTTCTCTCCCGTATGAAATTTTAGATGTCTGATAAGTGCTGATTTCCACCCAAAACATTTCCCGCACTCAGTACAGGAATGCAGCTTCTCCCCCGTGTGAGATGTCTGATGTTGGGAAAGATGGGACTTCCATGAAAACCTCTTCCCGCACACAGTACAGGAGAACCTCTTCTCTGTTGGAAGGCGGCGGCCCGGACCCGCACAATCTGAGGGTCCACAAGATGCCAGGAATCCGATGGTCCATCTACACTGGGTGGTGCCAGATGGACATTTTTGGTTGAAGGGTCTTCTCCTGGACTATACTGTGTGATGTCCTCATCTTGTACTTTCCAGTCTGGAGACAAAGTGAGACAATTCTTGGAGGTTTTCCTCATCTCCCGGCCATGGACTAAAATACAAAGACAAAGAGGATTACTAGACAGGAGCCCCACCAGAGGTCAGAGAGTGAGGATGGGGGGAGGGGGACCAAGAGGAAGACTGGACTCATCCTGAAGACCACCATCATTGGGCTATTGGTCCTCCCCCATCCTGAAGACCACCATCATTGGGGTATTGGCTCCTCCCCCATCCTGACCCTGAAGACCACCATCATTGGGGTATTGGCTCCTCCTTCATTATCACTTTCTGGTTGGAGGATGTGATCACATTATTATCACCATGTAACAGTCTGAGCTCCAATAATGAATGGATGGAGATGGTGGACTGATTGTATAACTATTTGAGTGTTTTTCTGTTTTATCCATTTAATAAATATCACAGTGAGCACTATGTAGTCTCTATCTCTACGAGCCGGAACTGGCCACTTAAAGGGGAGACCCCCTCCACATGTCCCTGATGTATCTAGTGTTCATGACCCACCTGTGCTGATCTCTGTAGGAGTGTCCTCCTCTATAAATGTCCCCGTTATTCCATCCTCCTCCATACACTGCTGATCATCCCTCACATACACCTCTTCTTCTTCTTCTGATTTCACCTCAACTTTTATATCTATCAGATCTTCACCCTAAACCAAGAGAAGGAGAGAAAATATAATCTGTGAAGTCTATAGATCTTCTCCATGTTCTAGATGCTCCGTCCAACCTACCTGATAGTGAGGGATGGTGTGACCTTCCTGTGTGGAATCCCGGGAATACAGAGGATGGGGAAATTTCTCTGGTGGGTTCCCATGACTGGATCCATCTACCTGATGATGGTGAGGGATGGTGTGACCTTCCCGTGTGGAATCCTGGGAATACAGAGGACGGGGACATCTCTCTGGTGGGTTCCTGGTATTAGGTGGCTCCATCATATCCTTGTGTCCTTCTGAAAACTCCTCCATCACTCCATACTCCTCATCCTCCTCTTTATACTCTTCTTTTACGACAATTTTATAATCCCCGAAGATTCCACTCTGAACATTCAAAAAGAAATTCAATGTATTGTAACTCCATGGAGAAATAGACAGTGACACCCTGACACCTTATAGGAACCTGACACACACAATGATACAGTCACCATCCAGACACATCCCTTGTCTGTTACTGGAGAATGTCCCAGAATTCCCAGCACCGCTCACCTCTCCTGTCAGCAGATGGACCATCATGGTGGTCAGTTCCAGGATCTTCTGCTCTTTGTTCCTCTCAGGTATCGGAGAATGAGGGGGAGGCACCATGGTGGGGCTCTGGGTCCTGCTCCATCCTCCTGAGATTGGCTCCCCACTAGACTTCTTCACTACAACATAATCCTACAGATCAGGAGAAAGAGAAACCGATATCAATCATCTGACATCATCTACATGTCTACAAGAAGAACATGGTCTATTGGCCAGACTAGACCACAGTGATGTCATGTGACCTCCCAGAATCCTCCTCACCTCTCCAGTCAGGTCTGTGTGATGTCATGTGACCTCCCAGAATCCTCCTCACCTCTCCTTTCAGGTCTGTGTTTTATTAATAGAGATAGGAGTGATGTCATGTGACCTCCCAGAATCCCCCCTCACCTCTCCGGTCAGGTCTGTGTGATGTCATGTGACCTCCCAGAATCCCCCTCACCTCTCCAGTCAGGTCTGTGTGATGTCATGTGACCTCCCAGAATCCTCCTCACCTCTCCGGTCAGCAGGTAGATGATCTTCAGGGTGAGGGTTGAGCATCTTCTCAGTCATGTGACTCCGGTCCTCCTCCATCCTCCTCTGGGCAGCTATGTGGTCTATACAGGTTTCAGACTCGACAGGTAACTATAAGTAGCGATGATAGAAGTCATATAATATATAAATGGGTCAGTATAGACTGAGGAGGTGAGAAGGTGATTGGTGGAAAAGGTGACATCTCCCCAATGAGGAGAATGTTCCGGCCCCGGAAGTGGGGGAATGTTATGCCTCTGAAGGGGTTAATCTGGGTTCCCACACTATATACGTGTGTGTATCATCATCTGCTGGAGATAAAAGACGTCACAGTGACTATGGAGGAAGAGGACGGACATGACATTGGAGGAAGAGGATGGATGTGACAGTGGAGGAAGAGGACGGGCGCAACGCTGGAGGAAGAGGACAGGCACGACTGTGGAGGAAGAAGACGGGCACTACGGTGGAGGAAGAGGACGGGCAAGACAGTGGAGGAGGATGGATGCGACGATGGGGGATGAGGACGAGTGACGGTGGGGGAAGAGGACGGAGTGACGGTGGGGGAAGAGGAGGGCGTGACGGTGGGGGAAGAGGACGGGCGTGACGGTGGGGGAAGAGGAAGGGCGTGACGGTGGGGGAAGAGGACGGGCGTGACGATGGAGGAAGAGGACGGACGTGACGACAGAGGAAGAGGACAGACATGACGGTGGAGGAAGAGGACAGACATGACGGTTACTGGGTGTAAATAGAAAATAAGATCTTATTACCTCCTCTGCTGCCACTTCCAGCAATGTCTCTTCTCTACTTCGTACTACAAAGACCTTTCTGTCTACCTGACATCACTTCCTGTCTTCCATAGAGACTTCCTGTCTGGGTAGAAGTGAGATCACCACCTTGTGGAGCTCAGAGGAACTGCAGCCTCGAGAACCTTCTGGTAGTGTAACCCCAGCCTTGTGCTGGATGTGTATGGACCAGGGGCAAACTGACAACTCATGGGGCCCTTGGGCAATAGGGGATCATGGGGCCCCTGTGTCCTTGCCCACACTCAAAGCACACCCAAAAAAGCCTATAAAAAAGGTACCAGGGGCATTTCATAGGGCCCCCTACTGACCCGGGCCCTCGGGTAGTGCTCGATTGCTTGAATGGTCAGTCCAGCCCTGGTATGGACTGTATGTCCTCATAGAGGGGTCACCTTCACTCCCACCAAAGGGGACAGAAATATATGACTGCCTAGTCCTGCCTTTCTCAGCCAGGGGTCCTCCAAAGGGTTCTAGGGGGTCCTCCAAAGGGTTCTAGGGATTCCTTTAGCAATGAACACTTTCTGTCTCTCAGTAACAACTGATATCAATGATCTGTAAGGGGGGCAGTCTTCCTACTGATGACCATGTAAGAATGTCCTTCCCCCACTGACCATTGATATAAGGGGGTCCTTCTCACATTGGTCACCAATGTAAGGGACCACTACACTGACCACTGATATAAGGGGGTCCTTCTCTCATCGGTCACCAATGTAAGGGACCACTACACTGACCACTGATATAAGGGGGTCCTTCTCCCATCGGTCACCAATGTAAGGGACCACTACACTGACCACTAATATAAGAGGTCCTTCTCCCATCGGTCACCAATGTAAGGACTTCCATCTTTGGCTGGTTGTTAGAAGCTTTCCTTAACCTAATATCTAATATCTGCTTATTAACAGTACTACCATGTATGAAGGAGTTGGATCTTAATAGATTAATTGAGTTATTATATTTCCATTTGTTCTAGATTGGGAAAAGTACGTTAAATAGACTATATAGTCTTTGTATACATATATGAACATATATCTTGGTTTTCTCTACATTCAAGCAACGTGATAGTAATTAGCCATCCCTCCCCCCCATCCTCCCCCATCTATGTATGAGAATATGTTTCACTAACTAGAGAATTGTAAAAATCTATTTCATACATGTTAGATTTACAAGATTTATACTGTAATATTTCTTGATTATGATATTTATATATGAGATAACTCTTAAGATTACTTTTAGAGAGATATATATATATATATATATATATATATATATATATATATATATATATATATATATGTGTGTGTGTTATACATCTAATTTATCCTAATTGATGGAATGTCAGTGAAGTTTTGTCTAGACCTTCTAAAGTTACATTCAGACTCCAAGGGGAGGAAAAGTAGACTGGAGGTTTTGTTCTAATACATCTGTTGGTGTCAATTATCTTTGTAGAACTACAAGTATACCAGCCCATTTTTAGGAAAAGGTGGGGGCTGAAGCTGCTAAAAAGAGCTGAACAAAGACAGAGAGACACTTCTTCTTTAGAAGCCTAGAGGACATACACACACACAGCTTTACACCACACACAATTACATATTATTATATACATATACGTTTTATCTTAAGAATTTAACTATTTTTTTGGGGACATTATTTAAACATTCTGTATTCCAATATTTTATTTCTAATTTTATGCAACATTATAATTAAAGCATCTTTTTGAGTTTATATAAGAGTTGGAAGGACTTTCTAATTTGGACTTTTCTCATCAATACAAGTTAACAAAATATCGAGACAATACGATATTTTACACTGGTGGATAGGAAGTTGGTTGCCACAAGTGTCCAAATATCAGGTGAAATTTCCGCTCCTGCCTCATTCAGTTGCCATCTGGGGATTTGCTGATGAATGTAAAAAAATGTTAAAAATAACATAAAAAATTAATGCCCCTCCCCCCCCCGAACTTCATACTAGCATCTTATTGGCACTTGCAGCTTGGCTACCAAGGAAAGGGTGGGAGGTGGGAAGTGAGCATGCCCCCTCCTGAACTATACCAGGCGTGATCAACATGTCTCACCATAAGGAGAGGACTTTGCCAAGTCCTGGTTGGAAAAATCCAATGTATGAGCCGGTATCGGGGAACATGAGGAATCTGTACAACATGAGGCATCGGGAAATGTCTATCTGTCTGCAGGACACCGGGGAGATACAGGAACTCTAATTAATGGTCACCTGGAAATAACCAGAAGGAGAAAGTCCATCCAAACCATGAGATTGGTCAGAGACTCATCGGTATCATTCTGGGCATTGCCAGGCTAGGTCTTGGTTACGGAGTGAAGTGTGATGCCGCTCATACTATATGTGACCCTCATCTACATCATGGACATTTACTTCAGCTTCTTAGTAAATATGACGGATATCTTCACCATCCTATAGAAGAGGTTGGGGTCCCGAGTGTGGCAAATGTGCGCTTAGACGCATGGACCTGACCACCAGTCTCCCCCTCCCTCTTTGAATGGAATGTGGTCTGTGTGTGCACTGGAGTCACAAGAGCATAAGGCACAGCTGGATAAGCTTCATGGTTGTAACCCCATTTAAGCCTGGTGCCAGAGGGTCTGACAAACACTTTCATCTGCCCGGTCGTAAAACTATAACTCAGTCGGTCACTTGACATGTAAGCCTTACCTCAGAGTGGCCATAAAACGTACATCCCACTTGAATCACTTTTCATACAAATTCATAAATTTCAACAGGAACAGGACACATTGATATAAAGCATATATTCAGATCGGTTATTTTAATACGAGTCACCTGACACCTTACACCCCTATCTGGCGTCTACAAGAGAGTAGAAAGCAATATATTTTTATCCAAAGTGGCAGGATATGCCATATTTGGTGTCTGGATGTTCGGAATATGATTCTGCATATTAATCTGCCAGTGGATAGGATGCTACCTGTACCTAGTGAAGGTTAGTGACCATGGTACAAACTTGGGAGGGATTTGGTCATAGCCTGGGTCCCCGCCCTTGGCTTCAATAGACACCCCCTGTTGGGACACTAGAAAAGGCTGTCATGCCTGGAGAGAAAGGAGATTCTCCCTTTTAACACCAGGAACCATCTCGGGAGAAAAGACACCCTTTTTTGTTCAGGACACTTGGACTCTGCTTAAACCAGGACTTCTACAAGTATCCTACCTTCTGAAACTTCTGTTATCTCTCTGTTGTGTTATTGCTCTCTGTATTTTTATATATATATATATATATATATATATATATATATATATATTGGCTACATCTTTTTCTGTAAATATTCTAATTGCACCATTTTGACCTTTTTAGTAATAAATCCTATTTTCTGAAAAGTGTTGAAACTGTCTCTAACGCTGTCGCAAACTAAAAGAATCCCTGTCTCTGAAGAGCGTTACTGTATGTATTAACCCTCTGCATACATCTGTCTGCGGTGACAGTGTGTATACAGACGATTATTCAAACATCATAGTGTTATATCATAGTGTTATTGCTGATATTGCCGAGTTTCCTCTTTCTTTGTATAAAAAGGAGGTGGTGGCAGTGTGAAGGGTTAATTGCGTAATTAACCTGACCCCAGTAACAATCGCTCTCAGGCTGCGGCACATAGATTGTGGTCCATTAGCTGGAAAATCGTTGTGCAGGGTGCAGCTGGGCGTGGCATTGTTACGCACATGACATCGCGGTTTTAGATTGGCTAGTCCTTCAGTCACGAGTTTGGTGAGAAGGTCAGTGGTCTGATGCCGCAATCGTCACATATTGGCTGGCAGCGTACGTGGGATCGTCACATATATTGGTTGGCAGTGTACGTGGGATAGTTGCATTAAGAGCTTCAGTGCATTGTTAGGAATTAGCTCTGCACTGAAGGATTGTAACCTTTGTGGAAACAGTCCTTAGAAACAAGCGGTACATATTTTACATATATATATACATATATACAGAGAGAGAGACAAATAGCAACAGCTCCTTCCTTTTTCTGATTCCTATTCTATCTTTGCTTGCAATTATGCCTGGTGAAGCAGAATACAAGAAAATGAGCAAAAGTTTAAGTACTGAATGTGCGTCACAGGGAATTGACGTCGGTGGCAAAACTCACGAAAATTTGATTAATGACCTACGTGAGTATGATATCCGGGCAGACCAGAACTCGGGGGAACCTGAAACTGAAGGGGTTCCTGCCACCTCCGATCCCAGTGGATCAGATACGGCCTCGCAGGATGGGCATACAGAGACTGACACTGGAGGATCACCGAATGGTATCGTCGCACCACCGCCTGAGCGGGCCAGCAGCGGAGTGCCTGTAATCAGCGGAGACTCTCCTCAGAGGCAGGAAGCCCTGAAACGCATCAAGGAGGTGGATCCTATGGCATACCTGCAGTTCCTTGAAAACCAGGCTGAGAAAGAAGCTGTGGAATGCCAGGCAGCGGCTGACAGAGAGGCTGCGGAACGCCAGGCTGAGAGAGAGGAATGCCAGAGGGAAGCTGATCGTCAGCATGAGCTGGAGATGGCGAGGCTCCAGCAGCGACAGGTTCAGAACCTCGGGTCCTTAGAGAACAGGGACGCCCCTCTGGCTGTGGGCACAGCCACCAAGTTTCCAGTGATGGACAAAGATAGTGACATTGACACGTATTTACTGTCATTCAAAAAAACTTGCCGTCAGTACCATCTGCCCTAAGCTCAATGGGCTCGGTACCTGACACCAGGGCTACGAGGCAAGGCCCTGGATGCGTTTGTCGAATTGCCAGAGGAGCAGGATGACAATTATGGAGCTCTAAAGGAAGCGATTGTCCGCAAATACCAGCTGACCCAGGAAGTGTACCGCAAGCGGTTTAGGTCCTTACAATAGGGACCTGGGTACTCTTACACTGATGTGGCGAGTCGCTTACGCACCACATTCCGGCAGTGGACCAGAGGACTGAAAGCTGACTCCTATGAGTCCCTGGAGGATCTCATAATACAAGATCAGCTCCTGCATATCTGCCCGGCAGATGTCAGACAGTTTGTATTGG